TGGGATACACATAGGTGTGCAGGCAGACAGCAAACAGAACCTATCTGGGTGTGCAAGTCAACTCTGAAAGGGAAATGAGGGCAAGGAGAATACTGTACAGAGGGAAACTGTGCTTCATTATTAAACCCCACGTCAAGACACGTTGATACAGTGTACAACAGGAACCATGCAACTTAGTGCAGTGTTGTGGGCTGTAGGCAGAAGTGGAAACCTACCATCATGGTGGATGCACTTAACGGGCACACATCTGTAACAAACAACAGAAGAAAAACATGGCTTCCAAAATGTGGGGAGGTGTTGTGTCTGCACATGGGCTGTTGCTGTGTTTGCCAGTAGATTTGCAGTCATGTGATGTTTGACTCCAATATAATGACCCCTGGTTCTTGTGGGAACTTCACTGACGCTGGAAAAGCCCCCATGTAGGGAGAGATCATTTGGAAACCCCAGGCTGTGTTCATGAAGAGGCTGACTGACGGGAGCCAGAGGAGGAATTACCAACCTCCCTGCTAATCTGGCTCCTAGTACCATGCATTAAGCCAACCAGTCAGAATCATTATGAAGTTTTTGCTGAAAGGGCAAGTGTAGAAAAACATGTTTCTAAACAGAATAACAGTCTTTGCCATTTTTTCCCAACTTGCATACCATCTGGAAATTCTGATTTTTTTTTCAAAGGGTAGGAAAGAAATGTGCTCCAGGCACAAATAAATGTTTACAGCTGAGTTATAAACCGAGAATGGTAGGACTTAAAACAGACAGGCTGGCAGTGATGGGACTCAAGCTGCAGTGACACAAATAATGCTGCGGGGAGCAGGCCAACTTGTTCTAGAAGTGGGCCCTCTGCACTGCCAAGTCCTGCTGCCCACTGACCTCACCCAGCAAATGTGCAGGGAGCGATCCTCACCTGGGGCTTGTTGTAACTCTCAGAAGATAAAAGAAAACATCCAGTGTATAGTTGTGCATCCTGACATGCTCACAACTTCTTAGCTTTTGGAAAACACAGCACCTCAAAGGACAGACAAGGCAGCCCATGGAGATTTGTCAATGGACCCACTGAAGGCTGGGGTGATGACATCAGTGACAGTAACCAAGATTCCTGGCTGGCTTATGAAGTGCCTGCCATCACAAGCAATGTTTCCCAGGGCTTATTTCATTTATGTTGGGAGAACCATCTCACAGATGAGGAGCTAGGGGCGGAATGGCGATCCATGACTTGCCTAAGATCACAAGGGATGCTAAGTGATGGAGCTCCAGGATCCCATGTGACACAAAATACTTCTGTGCAACACCAATGAGAATATATGATGACTGGTACTTGGTCCAGAAGGAAAAGCTAACATTTTGGGAGTCTGATCTCCTCGCTCCGCTTGCCTGCAATATGTTTTGTTATAGGAAAAGCTCTAGAAAAGTAGAAATAGGGTTTGGAAATGAAAGAGAGCAGTCATTAATCTTTGCTTTTGGTGAAGGGGAACATAGTAAATAGTGCAAGCTCTGTGGGTTGCTTGGCCTTTGTGGAACCTCATCAACTCTGCCCCGGCCACGCAAAAGCAGCCAAAGACAGTAAGTGAATGGGTCTGGCTGGGCTCCAATAAAACTTTATTTACAGTAACAGGCTGCTGGACAGAGGTGGCCCCCAGATAGAGTTTGCTGACCCCTGATACAGAGGACATCTTGAATTTAAAATTAGTGATAGATTTTGAAAATGATCCATGAAATGTGCCTTGGGAGTTTATTCTTTCTTGAAATCAGCACACCAGTGGGGTATGTGTGATGTGCCCTCTGCACACTTCTGTCTCTCTGGCCTCTGGGCCTAGCCAATCAACATGGATTCCCTTATGTTATCTGACCAGGTCAGAATACTGTATTGAATCTCTGTGTTCCAGGCTTATCTAATGCCAGATCTATAGAAAAAGCACCCGTGCCCTTGTAATGAAGATGTATGAGTTCATTCCTTTTAATATAGAAATACACGCAAGACGGTGAACGATTCTGGCAGGCTCTGTGTGCCCTCCTCTTGATGGGAAACCCAACTAACATCCACATACATTCAGGTTTAATTGAAAGAGAGGGGAGGAAAAATAAACCAAGAACAGCAACAAATGGAAAAGGGAAGGAAGACAAAGCCCACAGAACATACTCTCCCAACTAATTAATCAAGGGCTTCGTTTCCACTAACATATCCGAGAGGGTAGGCTGCCCTGTCTATTAGATTCGTTTCCAAACCTGAAGAGAGTAAACACTCCTAAAGACCAGTAATGAAATCTCTATTGATGTGCCATCTTACATGGGACTCACATGCCCGTGTTTTGCTTACATTTTAATTTGCTCCTGCTGGCTACTCACCCAGTAATTGCTTAATAAGATTAACCTTCCTGGCAATGTGTGGTGTATCTTGATTAAAACATTATCGGAGTGAAGGATTATCCTATACCACAAAAAAATGGAGGGGGTGTTATTTAATTAACTTATTGCCAATATATCTTGATTGTCTCTTTGAAACACTGGAAAACTAGTCGATTGGGATTGATTCAGGTTATCTAAATGTATAGAATTGGGGAGTGGGGAGGAAGGAGGTCACTGGGTAAAGAAATTCAGACCTAAGGTCACTTTACCTAAATGAGTTGGGTGTGCATGAGAAAAATAAAGTCTTTCTCATGACTTTATGAGCCAAACTTTTAAAACAACAAGAGGTACATCTTGAGTCATCAGAAGACTACTGCTTTGGTGTTCATTAAGGAGGTGTTTTGAGTTTTAGTTCACATTCAAGCTTCTGAAAAGATTGATTGGATAATGATTTGGCCAACATTTTGTGTCTCATAACTCATTTGGAAAATATTCAAAAAATGGTGATATTATATGACTTACGCAGTATTTTTGAAGGCCTGTGGCACACGAAGGGAAGAATTCAGATTCTTCTCAAGCCACAGTGGAAAGTGTTTCTTCTTCTGGGACTTACTCTCTGCCAGGAGTTTTCTTCTGCATTCTAGCCGAGCTGGTGTGGGCTGGTGAAGGGATGTGGGGGTTGGAAACCATGCTGATGCTCACTTGAGGTGAGCAGCTGATTTTAATTTATGGAGGCCAGCACAGATCAGCGATTCCCATATGTGAAGGACACGACTTCAAAGCACTTGAATCTAGCTCTAGAATGTGTACACAGCCTCACACAGAACACATCGCTAAGGCGGATGGCAGACTATACCCATTCACATTCAAATGTGTATTCTGTGTTCTGAGAGAGTGGTGGTGCTGACTTGCAGATGTTAACAGATAAAGCATAACAGAGACTCCCTAAAGTTTCTGAGGTCAGCACAACCGACATATTGGTAGACAGAAGTCTTCACTGTAGAGGGCTGTCTTGTATACTGTGGGTGGTGGAACCGCATCCTTGGCCCCCATGCACTGGATGCCAGTTGCAACACCACGTATTGTGACAATCAAACGATTCTCCAGACACTACCCCGTGTTGTCTGGGGAGCAAAATCATTCAGGCAAGACAGCGTGGTGTCAAGTACCACAGGTGGACAAATTTCAAATCTGAGCCCAACAGATTGAGGTCTGGACATTTTTGGTTAGTTAAAGCAGAACCTGGTCAGTCAAGGCAAAACACACTTTTCATTTTTAGGTCTAGCCGATAATGGAAAGCATATCATTTCATCTACAGATGAAACTTTTTCATGCTTACTTAGAGGTAATTTAGTGTTATGATTATGATAGATGAGTAGAGCGATTCTTAAAGACTTAGATAAAAAGAAAGAGAAGTCATACTTGAAGCATTAGGACAGCTCTGGGAGAATCATCTAAGCACATTAGCATCTCAGGATGGCTAATGGACACGCTGAGAGAGCAAAGGAATTCTGAAGTCTTCTCTCTGGAAAATGACTGATCTAAGGAAAGCACCCATGTCCTGCTGCAAGTTGCATAGGGCACAGATCTAAATTCAGGTTTGTACCTGTGTACTTGCTTGATGTGGGTTCTACTTCTAGAACATTCTAGATCTTAGTTCTCGGAAAGAGTTTTTTTCCCTGCAGAGTTGTTGAAGTTAAGCAATGCTAAGCTTGGTGCAAGGTAGGTGCCTAACAAATGCTACTTCATTGTTCTCTGAAATTTCCCTGTGAGGCATTTAAGAAAGGTGGGGGTAAACTGACTATACCTGCAAAGAGGCAGAGCTGAAAACACCGTGACTGGAAAAAGCCCTCCACCCAATCACTCTCCCTCTCTCCCTCTCTCCCTTTCTCCCTCTCTCCTGCCTGAAAGAGGCACACCCCTCCACGTGCCAGCCAGGCTAATGGTGCTATTGGCTGCTCTTGTCTTTTAATTGCTCCAGTCCCCATCTCCCCAAGGTTCTGTTTTCTCTCCTCTCTCTTAACACATTGTTAGCACCTAATTTTTTTTCCCCTGCAAGAATACAGTTGCCTGACTGCTTCCATAAACATTTCTATTGTCTCCTTCACTGTTCTGAGAAGAGAAGCTTTGTTGCCAAGTTGTCAAAACTCCTTTCTGTTCTCCCCCCAAAGGCAGAACAGCTCAGAGCTGTCTCTTTCAGGCCAAGCCAGGCGTGCTTCCTCCCCGGGGGGAGGCTGCGTCTCTCCTGGGGGAGAGGGACCCAGTCTAGTGGCATGTGCTGTCTGCTGCGCTCTGCCTTCTGATTAGGCAGGACTTTCTCCAGCTGCTGCTGCGGCTGCTGCTGTGGCTGCTGCTTCTGCCCAGGCTTTGGGATGCATTCAAGCAGCTCTAGCTGGTGCCAGCCGCTGTAGATAGCATAGGTAGGCACATTGCTCTAAGCAGGCAGTTTGCCAGCTCCGAGCGACTCCAGCCAAACACAGCTAACAGACAGGAACAGCAAACAGCTTTTAATGGGGGCACCTATGAAAGGCAATGGTTTCCCCCCCTTCTTTTTTCCTTTCTGCAGACTTTCCAAGATTTGGATTAGAAGACCTGTACCACCTGGCGAGAGCTCTGAATTTTCCTGACCTCAGGAGGGCAAGCAGCAGCTGTAACCTCACCTTTGCCTCCAGATGGCATTGTTGCCACATCATCGTTTCCTGGTAAGCCGGTCCTTATCCCATTGTTAAAGGTGTGTCCATCTGCCGGCTGCAGTTGCCAATTGAGTCCGAGCAGATGCATTGCTGCAGGAGAGACAAAGTAATGAAAATATGAACAGATAATTCAGCAATGCAAATGTCAAGGGGAAGGGCCAGGAGCCTTTTTCCAACCGATTGCCTTTTAAGGAAGCTGCAGTTCAAAAATGGCTTGCCCTAGGCCGCAGGGATTAGCTAAATACAGAAAGTGAGCAGATCTGAGGGGCTGGCTCTCCTCTTCCAGTGCTGCTGCTCACAGCATCCCATTTGCTGGGTGGAAGAGGCACGAGGAAACAGCCCAGCCCTTCCTCAGAGCGCCTCGGCGGCTGGGAAAATGGCCCTGTGGAGTCACAGTCAAGGGGACGGCGCCTTCTCACCCATCCCTCACCACAGGGCGCAGCTGCTTTTAGACTGCTAGTCTTGGGGCCTTGGCAAGGATGGTTTGCCCTAAACTATGCAAAATGTGGATCAATTTCCAACTGATTTTAACCTAAATGGTACCAGGGGATCTCACTCCACCTGCTAGGAAACACCAGTGTGGTTGCTCTATCTGCAGTCGCACGGGCCCATTTTAAAGCTGATCTCTGAAACTATTTCAAACTGTAAAAATATTTTTCCTTTCCAGCTGTTGGCATGGGAAGTGGACAAATATTCTGTGTGGAAAGCAGTCCTTTTCTGAAAACATTACTATTCTCTCGCTCTCACTCTCGCTCTCCTTTGTTAAGGAACCAAGCACACCTGCAGAAGTCTTAGCATGTCAAGCCTCCAAACTTCTGGTCTTCCATGGCACTCACCCTGTTCCAGCTCTGCACAGGTTAGCAAACTCAGGACACCCTTAGCCTGGTGTTCTTGGTTTTACAGAGTGGAATGAATGGCAGCGCCCCCACCCCCACCTGTCTCCTTTCAGAGTCCTTCTCTAAGAGATTCTTCATTTGTAGGTAAATAAGGAGCTCTCCCCTCTGCCTGTCTTCCACCCAAACAGTCAGGGTGCCAAGGTGTGGCTCTCGCATTTCAACTGGACACAGGCTGATGCTACATTCCTGCACTGTTGGAGATAGAGGGCTGTTGACAAGGGAAGATTCCAAGTTTGATGTGGGGATAGGAGGAACAATTAACCACAGGAAACACTATTAACAATGCTTAGGAAATTGTTCACACAGCAATTAATCCTGTGTGCCTACCACCACTCAGAGTCAGGCTGCATCCTTTTAAGGTCACAAACCCATCTTCAAACAATGCAGCTCAGATTGATAGCTGCAGACTGAGGCAGGGCAGTGTCATTTGTGCGTGTATGCACGTGTGTGCATGTGCACACATGGTTTTACACACTTCCTGTCTCAGACACGTTTTCTTCTGTATATCAATGTGAAATGTGAATCTCACTGTTGCAGCTTTTCAAGATGATAAATACTAATAAGATTAAGGAACATTAACAGTACGCTTGCTGTCAGAGTAGCACCTAATTTTCTCCTGCAGTTTATCCGTTGTATGTAGGTCACTTACTTGAAGAGACTAAATTCTATTGCCTCAAATAATGACATATTTTCCCTGTACAGAGGTCAGGAAATGAGAACTAATCATGGAGGTTTCAAGATAACGATAGCTTCTGATTTGTAATTACCAGGTGAAGGGAGCCAAGGAATTAGCTATTTTAAAATGATTTTTTTTAAAAAAGATGATACTATTGGGTTATCCAGGCTTGCCTTGAGCCAGCTGCTGCTGCACTTTGAGACATTGTTCTTTCGAGGACAGTCTCTTTTTAAGACAGACACGGACAGGTACTGCAGGAGCAGCTGGGGCCCAGAGCTAACAAAGCTTTGATTTTCACATCCACAGAGGGAAGTGGCGGGTCTTATCAGGCAAAGATGGCAATGTCCCCAATTCCCCACCCACATGAACACTCCTGTCATCGCTGCTCTCCTCCAAGAGCCCTCAATCTTGTCTTTGCAAGGGGCAGAGCAGACTGCAACCATCAGCTTTGGGAAAGCAGCAAGCAAACAGCTCCCTAATCTCGCTGAACGTAAAGAGGACGTCTCAGAATCTGTTCGTTCCTGCCCCTTTCCTTCCTGCCCCTTCTTCTTGTGTGTTGGGCTCCATAGTCTCTCTCTCTTTTCTTTTTCTAAAGGCATTCTGAAAATAAGCAAAGTGCAAACAAGGTGACAAGGGTTAGGGTCGGAGTCCACAAGTGACTTCCCAGACAACTACCGGAAGCGAGAAGAAAAATACGAAAGGGAAATGAAGTTGAGAAAGGAGAGGCAGATCTGCTGAGCTTAAGGACTGTCCTCCCAGCAGAAGCAAAGCAACCAAAATGAAACTCAAGTTTGGGCATATTTCCTGTTGTTGAGTTGAATGCTAAGTAAGCAAGTAAGAATTAAATCAAGGGTTTAACCACCTTCTCTTAGTTTTGGGGGGGTCATCTGGAATTGGCTTTTGTTGGTACTTCCTGTTTTGTTTGCCTGTCGGGACCAGTCACTCCTTCTCTCATCCTTGAGTATGGAAATGTGACAATCTTTCTGGCCTATGGGAATGGACCAAGTGCCTGTAGAACGAAGGCCCAGGGGAGCGGTGACTTAAATGAGTTTCCTGACTAACGAGAATCTGGTTTCTTCTTCTGCCACTGACTTGCTCTGTGGCTTGTGTTGAGAACTCGGTGTTTCCATCACCGCCTCTTCCTTTTGTGAAGGCTTCCCTTTGCAGGTAGAAAAATGGCTCAGACACCTGCCATTCATGGAAGGTCTGGCAGAGTGTCTTCAACACAGAAGGTCCTCCATCAAAGTTTATGTGGGGGCAGATTTGGGGGCTTGGAATGTAGGCTGTCATAAGCACATAAATAAAAAATAATGCATTACACTATGACATACAACAGTGCTGCAGAGAGAAGGCCATTGTGCCTCTGTCAGCATATCAATGCCTGCTACCCACTGTACTCCTGCTATGGCCAGGTACCATAGTAGATACTCTTCAGATGTGACCTCAGGACTCTCAGGTAGGTACTTTCATTACTGGCCATTTCAAAGATGAGGAGAGTATTGATTGAGGAAACACTGATTTAAAGCGGGCTCTCAGAATGAGAAGGGAATTACAGTGGCAGCTGACTGCCTGCTTCACACTTCACAGTGATCTGCCTAAAAGTTGTGAGGGCAGTGGGGTCTCAGCAGAACTCATGATCATCCCACTAGAACTGATGAATGAATGATCTCTCACCATAATGAGCACTGCTTCCCTGAGGGGGTTATATTTCTTCACCCTGTTGAATTCAGACATGGCCCCATGACCTGAAAGCACACACTTTATCACACAGTCATCCTGGGTCTTGAGAGAAAATGACACAGGTCACAGCCATGGCTGGCCAGTAACAGGACAGAGAGCGAGTGAAGACATATGCTGTTACCCTAGTGAGCCACTGAGAGTCCACGGTGCTTTGTTACAATGGCATCTCTGAGATTACCTTGACTGACACATCATTCACTTATAAGCAGAGTGGAAGATGTGATTTTTATAAAACAGATCTCCATGCATCACTTTGCTTTGTTGGGTCAGATTCCTTTTGGAAACCTGGCCAGGAAGAGTCAGCACGTAAGTTGAGCCATTACGTTTGTTTCCAAGAACATGAAAAATTAGCTCTTTATACCTTATGTTATAATGCCTTCAATTCCAATCTACTCCCAAAGCCAGGCTTAGAAAGCTGAGAAGACTTAGAGTACCAGTTATTGCTTCTTCATTGCAAGATTTCATGGAAATGCTGGACTCAATGAGAGATCATGGGTACACTGTGGTCTCCTCCACCCACCCCCTTGAATGCTCCAGCAGCTCATCCCAGAAGGTCTAGTTCACACCATTGTAGGGTCAGAAGTGAAATGAGTTTGGGAGGCCCTCTCCCTAATGTTACTCCCTCCCAATGACAGCCAAAATGTACAATTCATCATGATTTGACAGGCTGTGCTCCAGGGAGACCCTCGGATGGAAAAATGGGGTCCATGGGTCAGCAAGGATGGGGCGGGGAAGGGCTCCAAGCACAAGCTCATAGAATCCAGGTGGTGGCTGGGAAATCAGCCACTAAAAGCACAATAGGCAGCCAGACTGAAAGTATCCCTCTGGCTAATTGGAGAGAACTTTCCTGAGTGCTGAAAAGGAACCAAGACAGGATGGAGAGACCACACACAGGTCGCAGATTTCAGACAGAATAATAACCAGACCCACCTGGAGCTGGGGTGATGTTTTCTTATTGAAGTTGCTATGTTTTTGTGCCAGATGGGCTCTAATTGAAATACTCAGAGGGAGCCAGAGCAAGAGAAAGGGAGCGGGGTTGGTTATGGGCAACTGAGAATTCTCCAGCAGCCACAAGGGTAGGGTGATTAAAGGCCCAGAAAAGTGGCAGCTTGGAATGGGGGGGCAGTGTGTGTGAAATAGTAATTAGGGTTTGTGTGGGCCCTGCTGGGTGCCACTTAGAACCTTCCCTGTTCAGAGGATCAGCCTGACAAGAGAGTCAATCAATATGTCAGCAATCCTTCCCAGAGAGCTGCTCAGCCCCTGCTTGTCAAGGAGGGCAAACATGGAAGCCACAGATGCTCTGTGTTTGCTGAGCAGGCCCCAGGAGCAGGGGGTATCTTGAAAGATCAGCCTTGTCAATACATAACCCGGGGAGGAGATTGGGATTTCCCTTTGAAAATGGAAGACTTCAGCCCAAGCACAGCTTAGGGAGTGGGGGGAGGGAGCCAAGCCTGCTGGGTCTCCTGGCTCAGCAAGCGGCCAGATTCACAGGAGCCTTGGAGAGGCCTCAGAGAGCAGGCGGGAGGACAGGAAGGGTCAGGGATGGGTCTCCCTGCCTCCACACCAGCCAGCTTTAAGTCTCCTGTGGGACACGCAGTCATTTCCAAAAATGCCACTGCTGAGAGGAGGGAACCATAGTGGAATAATCAGGGCTAACCCTGAACTTGCAACAGGCAACCTGTAAAGGCACCTTTGCAATCAGCAGGGAAAATTAACACATGCAAATGAGTCTCCTCACCGATGATGGTGGCAATTAACATTTATTTTGACAATGTGCC